CAGTGGGCGGTGACTTTGTGTGGTGGGCGCGGGTGGCAGGGCCCCCGGTGTGCTCCAGCCGCGCGGTTCGAGGCTGGAGCATCCTTACATCTTTCCCCCCGCCCTCCTCAAATTCCGGCTCCCTTCCCTCCCGCAGCACGTGGTGCTTTACCCACTGGTGTCCAAGAGCCTGCGGAACATCGCAGCAGGGAAGGACCCGCTGGAGGGGCAGCGGCACTGCTGCAGCATTGCCCAGATGCACGAGCACTACTCCCTAGGGTACCCCGACCTCGATGAGCTCCAGAAGAACCCCCAGCCCCTCATCTTTGACATCGAGGTGCTGAAGGTGAGGTGCCGGCATGGGGAGCTCGGGGTGAAAGTGTCCAGAAGACACACAGATGTGGCATGTGGGATGTGGTTTAGTAGTGGCCCTGACAGTGCAGGACTCGAGGACTCTAGAGGTCTTCTCCGACCTGGATGATTCCATGATCCTGTTCTCTGATTGCATGATGGGGTGCTGGCAGGTGGAGCCACCCGGCTCCTACCAGCAGGACCCATGGGCCATGACAGATGAGGAGAAGCTCCAGGCTGTGCCCCAGATCCACAAGGAAGGCAACGAGCTGTACCGTCAGGGCAAGGTGTCTGAGGCAGCTGCCAAATACTACGATGCCATTGCCTGTCTCAAGAACCTGCAGATGAAGGTGGGTCTCCCCAGATACACACAGGCATCCTTGAGAATGCAGGGCTCGAGAGCTGCCCCTCACTCTCTCTGCTCTGTCTGCCACAGGAGCAGCCAGGCTCTCCAGACTGGATTGAGCTTGACCAGAAGATCACACCCCTGCTCTTAAACTATTGCCAGTGCAAGCTGCAGTGTGAGGAGTACTACGAGGTGCTGGACCACTGCTCCTCCATCCTCAACAAGTACGAGGGTAAGGAGCCACGAGCCACCCCAGGTGGCTCTGGAGGGCATCAGGACACCCCCAACCCTCCGCTGACTCCGGCTCTCTTCCCACAGACAATGTCAAGGCCTACTTCAAGCGGGGCAAGGCCCACGCAGCCGTGTGGAACGTGGCTGAGGCTCAGGCTGACTTCGCCAAAGTCCTGGCGCTCGACCCCTCGCTGCGCCCCGTGGTGTCCAAGGAGCTGCGCAGCCTGGAAGCGCGGCTGCGGGAGAAGGACGCCGAGGACAAGATCCGCTTCAAGGGCATCTTCTCCCAGTAGAGTCCGTGGCTGCAAGGGAGAGCCCAGTGCTCTCGGGACAGGTTCTTTAGATATTCCACATGTGGAATGGTCATGGATGTTTATTAATGTTTAATACAGATTTTACTTATTTGAAGTCAGTGGAAATGGCCCCGGAGCTCGCCACAGCCTGGGGACACAGCCAGGGCTTATCGTCACGCCAGGGATACGTGGGTGACAAGAGCCTGCTGCTTCCTGCCAACTTTTATCACTTATTGGATGTTTTTATACTTTATGGTGGCCATGGAAGGGCGGCACTGAGCCTCGGCCCCAGCTCCAACCCGTTCATGCCTGTTCTCCGTGCCACGCCATTGTCACTTATCCAGGCTGCTGCTATCATCCCAACCCAGTGTCTCCTCTTGTCATGTCAGTGTCGGGAATATTTTATATAGAGTAACAGCTTGTTCCTGCGATCTCTATAAATCTGATCATGCTATGCCAAGATAAACTTAAGTAAAACCAGTCACACCCCCTGGTCACTACAAAAATTTGCTGCTAGAGGTAGAATGAGGGGAAACCAAGTTGGAGAGGGGGAAGGTATCAGCATCGGCACAGCCCACACACCCCAGGCTCTTTTCCCTAAATTGCTTGTGACCAACTGCTGTGCCCCACAGCCATCTCCCTGTGGGACATGGTGTCCCTGGAGGCTCCCCAGGGCGTTTCCAGTGGATGGGAACCCTGCAGCCACAAGCACAGAGCACACTCGTGGGTGCTGGCACCTTGTCATAACATCTCTTTATTCAACACCAAAACGAAAGGGGGGGAACAGAGGAACCACTCTGGAACCCCAACCCAGCCCTGCGCTGTGACACCGGACGGAAATAAATAGGTGGGGAGGTGCCACTCGCTCTGGGGCACAGCCACAGCCCCCAGTTCTGCACAGGGATAATGACCCTGGGGTGCAGACCCCACTGGGCACTGCCCAACGGCCCCAAAGGACCACAGGGGATGGGGCTGGGGGCAGCAGGGAGGACCCAGGGTGGCTCTGCCCTGAGGGGATCACTCTGGTCCTCTGGGGAGCTCTGAGCCTTCTCCCAGCACCCCCTGGTCTCAGGGGACCCAGCACCCTCATCTCCTTGCAATGGCCTCATGGCCCAGCACCAGCTCTGGCCCCAGGTGCTCCTTGCTGGGAAATCAGGGATGTGGCAGAAGGGGGACATGGCCGTCACTCCTCACCCTCCAGCTTGAGGCTGATGCTGCGGGGCTTGGTCCGGGAAAAACCGGGGGGTGCTGAGGGGGGCCCCCCATCCCGCTCTGCCTGGCTGGAGCCCCGGGAGCGCAGGAGCTGGCTCTGCTTCCGCAGGAAGTCGACAGGCGCCGGGCAGCCATAGGTGCCTTTGCCCAGCACAGGCCGTGGGGGGCCCTTGGGGGAGTGAGCCAGGGCTGCGGCTTCCAGCTGGGCCAGGTGGGCAACATAACCCTCAGAGAGGAACTGCAGGACACACAGACAGCCTGAGCCAGTGGCCAGGGCCAGCTGGTAGGGTCAGCCATTATCCCCTATGTCCCCAGTCTGTCCCCAGCCCTGCCACCACCGTACCTGGCACTGGTTGTGGAACTTCTTGACGGCCCGTCCCACAATGTAGATGTGTGCTGGCGCAAGTCCCAGTGAGCTGTAGACGGAAACATCCTTGGTGGAGCCGTAGCCAGCGACTATGGAGATCTCTGCCTGCCCAGGGACAAGAGCATTAGGGCAAGGAACAGCCCTTCCCACAGGGACAGCTACCCCTAAGGGCTTGGACACCCTCATGTTAAGAGGGATGGCTGGAAGCTGCCCCGAGAAGCTTCCAGCTCCCAGCATCCCCACCAGGATGCAGCACTGCCCCCACCACCCCAGCACCAGCCCTGTGTCCCGGCAGCACCGCCATGGCCACCTCGGTGCGCAGGCTCTGCAGGAAGGCGGCTTTCTGGCGCAGCGGGTCGTGGGTGAGCCCGTCGCAGAAGGACACGGCGCCGTGGGGGAAGTTGTGCTGCGAGAGCCAGGCCACCACGCGGTGCTTCTGCATGTCGGGGCGCCCCGTCACGTAGATGATCATGTACCCCGAGTCCTGCCAGTGCCTAGGAGGGGACATGGGTGGCTGCCAGAAGCCTGTGTGGAGACAGTCCTGCTATGGGAGCTGGGATCTCCCAGTACAGCATGTGTGGGTGCTGCCTCCAAAACCTCCCTGCTCCCAGGGATTTTATCAAGGAGAAGGCCCAGCAGAGCTCTGGGGACCACATCCAAACTTGGACAGGATTATTTTCCACAATAGGGCACCAGCATAGAGATGATGATGTGCTGGAGGCAAGGGAGTGGTGGAATACCCTGCCCCTTGTCCCTGCTCTGACACTCTGCAGCTGAGTTGTCACACCATGAAAGATGGGGAAACTGACTTCATGACTGAAGGGCACCCACCTTACAACGTCCACAGCCCCCGCCCGCACTTTGGGGTCACTGCCCATGATGGAGACGCTGGCAGTGAAGGAGCCATCAATGCTGAACACAACAGACTCGGTGCCACGGGCCACCACGGTCAGGTACGCCTCAGCATAGCTGTGGTCCCCTCTGCAAAGGCAGAGATGGTGGCTCAACACCAGCTCTCCTGCCAGAGCAGCAGGTGTAGCTCTGCCAGAAGGGCTGCAGGAGAAACTGAGGCAATGCCTCACCTGACCACCATGCGCACAGGGTAGATCCCAATGGCCAGAGCCTTGTCTGGAGGGATGGTGAAGGTCACACGCCCACTGCCACTCGTCACCTCGGTGCCATAGTACAGCCACTTCCCTGACAGTGGCTGTGTCATGATGTAGATGTCCACCTGAGAGAGGGAAATGGGCTAGGCAAAAGCTGGACCCCCACATCCTGCTGCATCCTCACACAAGCCCTTACAACCTTCTCCCGCCACCCTACACAGGGTCCTGTTAACCATATCCTTCCCCTGCTGTGGGTGACACCAGCCCCATGCCCAGTCCTGGACATCCCACCCTGTTTGAGGGGTCCTGGTGGCCCCTGAGCCCAGCAATACCTTCTCCCCAGTCAGTGTCACCACGTCCAGGGGTCCGTACATGAAGCGCCCACTGAGGACCTGCGCTTTGCCCTCACACACAATGACATCGCAGGCACGGTGGTTGGCTGTCACGTTCTGCAGGCACATGGGGTGTTCAGCAGCTCCTGGCGGAGCTCCTGAGGCGCCACTGGGATACCACAGGGCTGTGGGATTGTTCCAGAACCCACACACCCCAGGATGCCCCAGGTGGCCTCCCCCTGGCCACATACCCGGATCTTCACTTGGGTGCGCTTGCGCTGCCACTTCTCCCGCGGGATGGCGGGGCTGTAGATGGAGCTCTCCTCGCTCTCGGCAGGCTGTGGCCCCTCCTTCTCCATCACCTGCCGGCAGCGCGGGACTGGCTCAGCCTCCATCGGCCCCGGCCTGCCACCCACCCCACTGGGCCCACCGTACCTGGCGCAGGATGAAGGCCACTACGTCGGAGGATTCCCAGTAGCTGGCGTGGAAGAGGTGGGGCAGGGTGATGGTGGGGAAGGCAGTCAGGGCGTCGGGGCAGTACAGAGAGTAGTCAATGCGTTTCGGGCCCCACCAGCGCTCCAGAACTGCAGGGAGAGCTGGAATGAAGCCTTTTCCAGACCTCATCCCTTGTTGGGCAGCCTAAGGTGCCCACATGGGATGGGGTGGGTGGGGATGACACTTACTCTTGACAACCTCGCTGGTGCTGGCAGGAGTGGGGGGCTCTGCCACCTCATTGCCCTTCCAGAAGCCCCCAAAGCTGCCAGTGGGGGTAGGGGGAGCAGCCACATCCACTTTGGGCAGGAACAGGGCAGAGTGTGTCTGCAGGGCCTCCGCTGAAGAGAGAGCTGGGTGAGCACACCTAGAGCCCCTGGGGACACCCACCACCCCAAAACACCCCTCCTGCCCTCCTGCAGAGCCCCAGAGCAGTGGGAAGGGCTTGCACATCCCCCTACCCACACCCAGCCAGGATGTGGGTGCTCTGGGTACCCTGACGTGGCCCCAGGGTGCCTGGCACCAGCCTGGTGGGAACTTGCTCACCCAACAGGGACGAGGTGCCATCACCCAGGGGGTACTTCTGGTATCGGGGCACGCTGAGTGGGGGCACAGCATGGAAGGCCTTGGCCAGGAGGGGCTCCAGGCGGGAGGCGCAGGGATCGGCAGCGTGGAAGAGGTTGTAGATCTGCTCACAGGCAGGACGCAGCTGGGCCACTGCAGCACAGAGCAGGGTCAGAGGCACCAGAAGCAAAATACCCAGGAGGGGTAAAGCAGGACACAGCAAAAGGAAAGGCTGGACAGGGAAATTTGAGGCACCAGAGATAGGCTGAGGCTGGCACAGAGCAGGAACATTCAGCCACCCACCAACACCCACACAGCCAGGGCTGGGCATGCAAGGGTCTCAAACCCAAGCAAGGCTCTCTGGGTTGGTCCTGAGGAGCTCAGGCTTGTCAGGTGAGCGTGACTCAGGGACTTGAGCCCTGCAGGGAGGGTCAGGGGTTGGCACCACAGCGGGCAGGGATGCTCACCATCCAGAGCAGGCATGACGGTCTTGCGCAGCGCGAGCACCAGCCCCAGTGGGGAACCGAAGAGGAAAAAGCCGGATACCTTAAATTCGAGGCGGGTGCTGGCACCCTCTCCCCCATCCAGCGCCATGGCACTGCTCCGGGGTGCCTCTGCCTCCAGTGGGGCCTCGCTGGCCTGCAGGCTGGGACAGCAGAGACAATGGGCATGGGGAGGGATGGCAACATCAATTCCCACCATCCTGAAGGCAAAGCTGTGCCTGGTGTGGCCATGTTATCCCAGAGGAGCTCCAGTAAGATCCCTCCAGGGCAGGTGGCCTCCATGAAATGCTCCTTCCCAGCCTGGAGCAAATGGGAATTGCACCCTTTCGATAAAGGACAGTACAGCCAACCATTGCCCTTGGGCTCACCTGCTTGTGGAGCTGTGCTGCTGGCTGTCCCTCTGTGCCCCTGGGGCTTCAGGGCTTGCCTGGCCCAATACTGGCGCTCCCTCTGTCCCATCAGCCAGCGGGTCCAGGCCACCACACTGCTCTGGGGAGATGGGCTCTGTGCTCTGCAGGGAGAGGCAGCAAACACCCAGATCCCTTGTAGCCTCCAGTGCACCCCCAAACCCTCCCCAGGGGGTGTTGGAATGCAAGGCACTCACCAGACTGCCACGGCGGCTGCTGCTTCGGCTGCCCCCCGAGCCCGCCCGGCTCTGGCATAGGGCATCAAATCCCAGGATGCCGCCCACACAGTCCCCCAGCAGCACCACCTGCAGAGACCACAGATCCATGAGGAGGGTGAAACCCCCAAACCCTCCATGCAGGGTCACAGCTGGACCCCAGAGCCAAGCTTCCCCCCAGATTCCACCTCACCTGGCCACAGAAGCCAGTGCCCTCTCCAGAGTGCAGGAAGGCTGTGTAGGCCTGGTTGGCACGGGTGATGACGGTGCCCACGGCCTGCTGGTAGGTGCCTGA